AAATCGACTTAAAATTACTAAACATTTTCATTTTAATAAAAAATTCACTTTGCTTTCTTTGATATAAAGCATTTAATTTTTCTTAATTTAAAATATGTTTGAAGAGGAACGATAAAATATTGTTAACTAACCTCTAAGAAGCGTGTGTAACTGCTAAAACAATACATTAATGTAACGATTTTTGATGTGTACGATGATCTAATAAGTACTTTAAAAATAGCGAGGTTAACAGCGGAAATAAGTTCAGATATTTGAATTTTAAGAGAGCTTAAGGAAATGTTTTTTTTTTAGCTATCTCTGAATAAATCTTATAATTTTAGTTTTGAATGAACTATTTGTGGCTGATTATTAAATGTATAAAAAAAAACATTTTTTGGTTTTTCAATCTCGACTAAAGTTTTTCTATTGTAAAAAATTCCTTAAATTGCAAAAGAGTAACAACATCTCTATCTAATCTGCAGTATACGACATAAACCAAAATTAGCGGATATTCAACCCGATGTAATAGACATAACACATGAAAAGGTTGAACGTGAAGAGAAAACGGGCGATCTTATAATTTTGGATTCGAAATCGCCAAATACTTCCCTTAATGGGACAGAATTAAGGAATACAATACTATTAAACTCTTATATTGATTACAGTAAAACGTCACCATCGTCCACCAATCGATTATTGGTAGAGGATCAGCTAAAAGTTAATTCCGACACTGGTTCACGTAAGGAGAGTAATTTAAAAGACGCAACAGGGGAGGAACAAGAGTGCGTTTCTATTATACATAAGAAACAAAAGCAAATGATATTCAATTTCGAGGGTAACAACGCAATACAAAATTTTGAACCTGTGGTGATGGCACATTCAAATGTACCTTTATACCCTCTGAAAACTGTAAATGGAGCTCAATTTTTGCCGCAGATACATACGGGGATGTTACGCATGCGCATAAAGCAAATCTGCGCCATACAGATGTATGCTTGGCCGCACTTGCTAAGAAACAACTCAGTATTTATAATTAGCCCGAGTAAATCAGGCAAAACTTGGTCTTATTTATCAGCCTTGTGTAATGATATTTATTATGATTTGATCGATTTGAAATCCACTTTTGGGCCGGTAGGCATAGTTTTCGTTGCCTCTATGAAACATATGGAACAAGTCACTGATTCTTGCCGTCAATTAATGTCTGCTTTGAAAGGTCAGGCTCCCGTGATAGTGGCGTCTTTCGGTTTATCTAATTTTAGAGAGACTAAAAAAAAATTATTGAAAAGCTGCGGCATAGTAGTAATAACGCTTTCAAGTTTGTTACGTTTGCTGAACGATAGTGAAAACAGGAATTTGTTTAACGGTGAACGTTTGAAGCGCATTGTTATGGATGACGTGGACTTAATAATGTCACGTGCTCAATGGGATTTTGCAATGACCTTAAAAGCTTTATTTACGTTGTGCAAAAAGTCTGGAGGACAAACCTTGATACCTCAGATAGCTGCAACATTTTGTCGTTGGGATGTTGCGTTTATGGAGCTTATACGACTATCAAATCAGCCTTTGTTATTGATCGCAGATTATCTCGAAGCTACTGTTTACGGCAAGGTCGAACTTTCGATCAAGTTGCGCTCTAAAATGGAGAAGAAAGAAACAATGCAAAGTTTCCTTAAGAAATGCAATAAAACTGTTCAGATGAGCAATCGTACTATAATTATATGCAACGAAGACTATGAGGTCCTGGAAGTGCTTCAACTTTTAGCGGAATATGGTTATTTTAGTTTTGATTACAGCAGTGACTCCGTTGAAATAGGGCGTATCATTATTAACGAGTGGAAACGTAAGGTAAGACGTTTGTAAGTGATTGAAGGAAATTACAAATTTTAAATTTACTAATCTGCAGAAAACTGACAACATTTTTGTGTGTACGGATGAGGCGCTATTTGCCCTTCAAATACGTAATGTTCAAAATTTAATCCATTATTCTATGCCGACTTCATGGACACAATTCACTGCGCGTTTTTCAGTTCTAATTGAAAGCTACGACAATCTGTTAGCTGATACCTTTGCAAAAATTCCGCCTTGTGCTCACAGTTCTAATAGAGTTTGCTCTTTAGTGCTGTTGGATGATGAGAATAACCTACAATTGCCGCATTTGGTCGACTTTATGCGTATGCATCAGCAAATTGTGCGTCCGGATATACAAGCGATGGCAAACCATTTGTTGATTACACTTGCAGACGCCCGAGTCTGCAATGACGTGCAGCTTTGTTTAGACGTTTTAGATTTCGGTGAATGTGATGAATTATTTTGTAATAAACGCCATGAAATAACCAGTTTGGATGTTGTTACCAAGAAGGATGACATACCAATGGACGGAGAAATTCGTATACGTATTATACTTAAGGTAAAGCTGTAACGAATTATTTCGCCAGCATCAAGAAAATCATATGAATTTGATTTCTCGTGCAATTTTTGGGGAATGCCACTTTATTAACTAAATTAGATATGAACTCGATTTAGCAAAATTTAACGCAACTGTCACTATTTAATTAAGTTTATTTGCCTTTCTCTGACCGTATATTGAAGCTCTTTATACATACGGCCACTTACGGTATAGGGAGTTTGTGCGAACTCATATAACATGCGGAAAGGCGTTAAGCATGTTTGTCCGCCTGAGTTTTATTCATGTAATTTTGTGTTCAACCTGTACGTTGCGATTTTTGAGATATTTTGACGTAGTTTGTTACGCTAATAAGTTTTGGTCAAGGGACGAATCCTATTGAAAAAGGATTGGATTTGCGAAAATCGTTAGAAAATAATAATATATCAAATAAATATGAAAAATGTAGATGGGATAGGCCAATTTAAAATGTACAAAATCCATTGCATGGTAACAATGTTTATTCTTTGATACTACGAAATAATACGGAAGTAGAATGATAAAATCTTTGACAGGCAAATTAAATTTTCTAAAGTTTTGCTATACTAGTTTTGGGCCCGTTTCCATGTAAAGGTTCGCAGCAAAAATATGCCGTTACATGAAAAAAAGGTGCAATTTTTGGTATGTTATTTTCACGATAAGATTTATGTTAGTCGACGTGGCGTAGGGCATTTACGAGTCCGTCTTGCCCTACTATAATATTTTTAATTGCCTTATTTACTTATTTGCATGTTCTATGTCCACAATAGACGGTTTCACCCTCTCACTACATCGCTCGTTTATTGGAACATAAGGCTCCTCGTGCCAAACAATGGCTTGAGATTAGACATTCGCGGAAAACTACAGCATTTGCCCGTCAGCTTGACCTACATTACTTTGATCCAAATAATAGATCACATCACTAGCCACCTCGAGTCGGCGATATTTGTGTTTATAAGCACGCGAATGTATACAAAAGAGTATGTATACTTGACATATTGACTTTGTCCACAAGTGCCGATATTGTTCAAGATTCACTGAAACTTACACTCAAACTCATAGATGACGGTGGAATTTTAACGGCAGTACAAAGCAACGACATTTTTATATGTCATCAGAAATTTAAAGATTTCCCATGTCAGGCTATAAATGTACGTTTAATCAATATGGTCCCTTACGATAATGAACGAGTTTGGGATTCAAAGAGCACCAAACTTGTGCAAAAGTGGATTATGGATGATATTAAAGACAACCATGTAGTGCATGCTACCGTCAATTTTGCTTTCGTCTGTACTATATGGATAAATAATTCATTTGTAATGGAAAAACTCAGTAGCACTGGCGTTTATAAGCACCTCGTAAACCTAAAAAAGACTTTAATTGAAAACCAACTCGCTCTTTGTTATATCGGGGATAGGAAGAGTGTATGTGATGTAGTCAATAAATATGGTTTACTTAAGCTGCAATCACCTGACCGAAAATAGTAATGATTCGGTTTCGATAAACAAAATAGTAAAATTGACAAGTCAATAAATATAATTAAATCGCCATATCCTAACAGTGGTCAAAACTGTAATAAGCAAAAGAATGTAATTCAGAAATTAACGCTAATAATGAAGATATAAATAATCATAAATCAATAATAATCGACGAAACGTAAATAATGGAAAAAAAAAAAACAAAAATAATGGCAAACCATAGAACAAGCCAACAGATGGATCTAATGATAATTACCCAACGCCAAGTTGTCTCTCGTGTTATTTAAACACTTAGCCGGAAGTTCTCAAGGATTCGGAATCTCTTGGCGGCTAACCTTGAAAATCCCTTCAAATGAATTTGCAGAAGTAATGGTTGTGTCGACATAAGTAATAAGTAATGGGAATCATCATGCTAACTGCGGATTGCCGAGGTTATAAAAATCTCGCTAAAAATATCGATCTGAAATTATTTTAAAATAAACCCTAATGAATTGATTTCAAAAAAACAGATGACCGTTTGATTCTTCTTCAAATTGTTTTCATTATATTTTCATATTTTTTAAGCATTGATTAAAAGTACTTTCTGTTACATGTATCAAAATGTAAATGAGTTTGAATTTTGAGTTATTCGATTGTTTATGCAAATTTTTATACCTTTTACCGAAGGATGAGAGGTATATTCATTTTGCCAAAACGTGTGCAACGCGCAGATGGAAGCTTCAGAGACTCCACAAAGTATTTACATTCTCGATCAGCATCAAATTCTGAATCGATTTAAGTAAGTCCGTCTGTCCTTCTTTATAATGTCTGTTGTGAACATTCTCCTGGTCGCAAATTGGTGCTATCGATTGTAAATTTGGCAGAAACATTGCAAGTTCTCGATAGCTTGATGACCTTGTATGGAAAATCACTTGCCAACTGTGGTTGGCAGTAAAATCTACAAAAATTGGAACGTATATTATCTGGGTGATGCTCTAGTGGCTGTATGAAAATGAAAAAAATTGGTCACGCCCACCCATTATTATACTGTATAATAATTTCATTTATTTTTCAATACCCTTATTAAGTGTCGAGGCAAGCTTCAAAAGCCCTATAGAGTATATAAATTCTCAATTTTCAAATTCAGAAGGCACTTTAACATGACCGTCTGTCCATTTGTCTAACTATGTAGTATCCCCGCTGAACATTTTCCCGTTCGCAAAAATTAAGATATCGCCTCCAATTTTTCAGAAGAAAGTGATAATAACCTAAATTAGTCGAACGGGTACGCATACGGCGCCCACACGCACATGCACACCATATAAATTTCTACCTTATTTCTGAAAACATAAAAATCAGTCGGGCCCATTCATTATTATAGGGAATGAACATTTTTTTTCCTGTTTTTTTTCTATTGTTTTTCAGGAGGATGGTGATGGGTACAAAAGATTGGACGACGTCCGAATATAATTTCATTACTTGCTTTTAACGACTTGCAATCTTTTGAAAATCAAATTCATATTATTACTTCTGTACGTTTGAGTATACCACTGTACTTAACATTCTACGTTCATCTTTGTCAGACCTTTCGTTTTGATGCCTGCGTTTGCAATCACAGTCTAAAAGATAATTCATCGTCAAGAGCTATTTAGATAGTTGCAGATGTTAGTTTGAAAATATATATAATTTTCTACAGTTGCACTGAATTCCGTTGCGCTATATAAAAAGTACCCTCCCAAAAGAAAATACGCGGATAAGCTGTTTAAACTTAACATAACATTGCTTAAACTTAATTAAAATTATTCTCATATATTGCTCATTTTTATGTTTAAATATAAATCTCAGATGCAAATAAAAAGCATCGATGCAAAACTTGGCGTTAGTTATTTAAAAGATCCTTAATCCATTTGCATCGCATGAAAAAATGGAAAATTTTTTCTTTACACTATTATTTATTTTAATTGTATTTAAATGAAAATGTTTCCAAATATGAAAGATAAAAACAATATTGCACAAATAAAGAATTTTAAAGCATTTTTATTTCATTATAGATTAATAATAATAAAAGAAATGAAATCGAATTATTTTGCACAACAGGATAATATTTCAAATGGTCAATGCATAATCCCACATGGCAATTATCGCACTGACAAAATGCATCGTTTCTTTTTTTTTTTATAATAAACGAACTACTCAACAGTTGCGAGCCTCTCTCGATGAAGTTGTTTCGATGAGGATTGGAAACGGGTTAACCAGTAAATCTTTGCGGTAATGATGAATATGGTGTAAATATTCTTTTTTGTGCGGTGTATTTATAGTTGGTATATTTTTTTTAAGCATTCCGCATTTTCCTCTAATTTTTGTTTGAAAACGTGAAATACTCTGTCCTTATAAATAGTTTTGAAAACAACATAATAATCAAAAGACTCATGTCGAGACAATACAAACACTTCTCTTTATACACGTTCTGATAAGGTCGTATAGTCTGAAATTTGCTGACAAGTTGATCACCTCCGCCAACTCCACCCATGTTTTTATTATGGTCTGAAACAACTTTTGGCTTTACAACATTTTCTTCACTTTGATTCGTTAACATTCGTTTTGCTCGTAAACGTACTCTTTTTAGCAAAATTTGTTAGGTTTTTATTTACACCACCAACAGATGCAAATTTATGCACTTTAGGTTTGTCTTTTTTTCTTCCGACTCAAAATCAAGCGCACTTTGATCACTATCGCTCCTATCAAAAGAAACCGGAATAAAACATCTGCGCAACCGTTCATTTTTTCAATTTTTTTGTATTATTTTGCCATGAAATTACTTCCGAACACCACTTTAAAACACAGATAAAAATTAAAAAAAGGATGGAAAATATCAGTGCACATAACGATTAAATTCGATAATTTTGGCCTCTCTCTACCCAAAATAAAAGTTCTCCACTTAGTATTATTGAGATATTCAGCGTAGGCCGATGCGCGCTCAACGTTGTATTTTCGACCTTCATTGCTAGAAATTTTGTAAAATATTGTAGAAAATGATCGAAAATATTTTGGTTAATATATGTCGCACCAATTTTTTTCAATAAATGCCTTTTTCAAGTGAAAGACATCTAAAATGAACGCGACCATCTAAGAAAAGCCTAAGTGAAATGCGTGCATATATACGCTCTGGTAATAACTGCCAAGCAAAATGAGCACATATATGATCTTATATGGGCAAATGGATTAAATGCGTAATCCACAATCCTTAATCACATTCAGTGTAACATTTATCACTTGCACAGTATATTCCATACATTTTATTACAATTTGCAAAAGGAAAATTAGTTTTTCCCCGAAAACCATGAAGTTCTCAAATTAAATATGACTGTTTTATCCAAGTCTGTGCAAAATTATTTTTCCTGATTATTAACTCATTTAGTTGAAATCGGGAAAATAATAAATTTAAATAAATGGGTTCCCCATGAACTGAACGAAAAACAGAAACAGAAGCGTTTGGACGATTCTTTGATGCTGCACAAATCTGATCCATTTTTGAATCGAATAATCGCTTGTGACGAGAAATGGATTCAATATGGCAATCGCAAACGTTCACCGCATTTGTTAGACAAGGACGAATCATTGAAACATACTCCAAAGCGTATCGGCTCCTATCACACTGCCTAAATGACCTTGACAAAACTACAGGAATTGGAATTGGAGCTCTTCATTATTCTCCATACTCATCAGGTCTAGATACCACTGACTACCAATTCTTTTGCAATTTGGACAGCTTTTTGATAGGAAAAACTTCAATTCCGATAATGCAGTAAGTCTGGCCTTCCACGAACTCAATTAATTTGATGTTGAAATTAAATTAATATGGATTTATCATGCCAGTGAGACTATTAAGTCTCTTTCGGCACAAATTAAAATACTAGATAGGATGACTCAAACAACTATTCAGCGCCGAAGGAATTCGACATAATTACAAGATTACTCATTACAGTCGGGATCATAAAATTTCCTGATTATTGCTCTGAATCTGTACACACCACTAATAGTGTTGGTAACGAGTTCCATAACTGGCAGTTTTGATAAAAAACAGCTTTGATGATCTCAAGTACTTACGATCGAAATTTTGGCGTACAAGTATAAATAAGCTTTGGATGAAGATCGCATTTCGCATATTAAGAAACGACGAAACATCAAAATTTAAAATCTCTGTCGGAAACCGCGATATTCTGTCGTATTTGGACTTATTGAAAACATATCTGGGACACTTATTGAAAGCCAACTGTACCTTGGCACTCGAGGCGCAATTAACGTTACCACATATGTTGACTTCATGCGATATAAGTGGCGCAATGAGATATTTAATTTATTTTAACTTAGCATAAATCGGTACGTACGAGGAGGACAAACGCCGTTACCTTAGAATGTTGTGTATCTGCCATCATAAGGTCCATATGATCATCAACACTTAAACGTGAGTTAATTACGAAGCCAAGATTGACAACCTGCTTGACAATGTCAATCAGTGCATCATTCTTTCTAATATTAGGTAGAGAGACTGAATTAAAAAAGTTGGGTAATATCACGATCGCATTCGTCCTCTCCGAAGTAAGTTTTAAATTATTGACAACGGGCCAATGCGGGATAGAAACGAATTGACCGTTAACTCGCTGAATCAGATCCCTTACCAGCATCCGTGCGCGAGAAAGGTATATTTGAGCATCGTCAGAACTTAACTTTCTTAAGAGTAACGTATGATGCACAGCATTGAAGGCGTTAGAGAAATCAATCATGACCAGGGTAGTATCTGGACGGATGTCTTTCAACACCTCAAGCATAGCCGTGTTGCAGCGATGACCTGGCTTATAACCTGAATAGCTTCAGAGTCTAAATTTTTGGAACACGAGTGCAACGCAATCTGATCAGTTATTAACCCATCAAAAACTTTCCAGAGAGCAGGAAGAATACTGATAGAGCGATAATCACCTTGTGAAACAGACGCAGCGCGTTTAGCGATTGTAGTTATGATCGCCTTTTTCCAACAGTCAGGGAAATTGCAGGATATAATGATATGATTCAATGCATGAGACAACGAGGAGACCATGGCAGGAAAGACAAGTTGTATAAATATAATATTGATATTGTCGTAACCAACAGCATTAGATTTAATGCTATAAACCGCTCTCCAAACTTCGTCCGTAGTAAAAGCCTTGAACTCAAAAACGTCGCCATCTCCATGTAGTGAGTCGTGAATCTCAATAAACGAACCGTCATCAACCACGCAATTAACCTTCAAAATATAATCGTTTAATATATTTGGGTCAATATCATAAATAGGTTGACGCGCTCTGATCCCTATTGTCTGTAAATTTTTCCAGAGAGTCCTTGTCAGGAGTTTAGTATCTAATCTCCGGTTGAGATAACGACGTATCATCCTTGGTGATTATGTGCACCCTATTTCTATGCTCGCAAAAAAGCCCCCGATTAGCGGCACTGGAACACCGCTTCCAGGTTCTGTAGGCACCATTCCGAAGCCCGATCGCCCTTTTGAATTCATTAGTAAACTATAGTGGTTTGGACGGATTAACAACACCGATCTTATCATTATCATCGTGCAACGCGGACATATTACAATTTATTAAGGACAATTTATCACGAAACATTGAAGGCTGCATTGACTAATAGTTCTACATTACCTAGTTTCATATCTCTATAACCAGAATTCCGCCGTCTTCCATTTTCGCATTTGGTGATCAGATATTCCACCTAGCGGGAATTGATCGTAGTGCACAACAAGAGAGTCGGCTTACAACTCGGAGTATAATGCGTAGGCCATGGATTTATTAATTTTAGCCCAGCAGACGTTATCAGGTCACACAACTGATTGGCGCGGGAATCCGTTAGCAGCAAGCCAACGTTAAAGTCGCCACACAAGATGATATGCTCAAACAGGATGGCCAACTCATCTATCGCCGTAAACACCAGCATTACAAGGTATTTAGCCAACAGCCGAACATTCAACAACACTGTTACCTTTCGACGTAGATACAGTTCGGTGACTGAAATCCTGATTAATGTAAAAGGCGATGCCTCTGCCTCTCGCGTCGCCAGCGTTGTCATGAAGGACAATATTGTAGCTCTCGATCTAACAGAACATGCGATCTGAGCCACATCTCAGCTATGCAGACCACGTCAATTAATAATTCGGATTATAAATAATTAAAATAGTCCGCATTAGATTTTTTAAAGCTCCGTGTCTTGAAGTGAATAGAAAACTCTTATGCATTCCACTGACAATCTTCAAAGTTACCTTTATATAAACATCGCAAGTATGTAAGTTATGATCAGCTATTAATATCCAACCTTCTTCTTCACTAATTTCTAACTAATAACTTATTAATATACGCTGGACAGGATTAACTCAACGTCGAGTGATCCACCTGCAAATCTAATCCAAACATCTGATGATGCCTGATACAATTTATGTATTTAAATATAGAGTCTTTGCTATATTCATTTGCCCTATAGTCTCGATGACATTTGAAACACATAATATCATTATTACATTCCTTCCTCTACATTTAGAATATGTTACCACTTCAGCTTCATCGCAAGCTGTGCATCTCCACCAACCGACGCATAACCTGCCACCGGCAATTATCGCAAGCAGTGGTGTCTCGTCCCTTTTTTCATAAAATGAGGGATAAATTTAATTTAAAGATCTTAACATATATAATATAAACTATGTAAAGTAAATATCTCTCCCAGACGTGGGTATATAAGTAGTTCTTCGTAGTGTTTTTAGCATAACTTGTTATGAGCCGTTACGTTATATGAAAACTTCAGTAGGCTATGATTTTAAATTAAGTAAGCTTTTTTTCAAGCAGATAGAGGGAATCAAAGCAGCCGCGATTTGCTGTAATTTATTTGTAGTATGTTCTAATATTTTATTTTGATTTGTTTTAAATATATAAAATAATGGCAAAGCTGAAATGTTTTTTTTCGCATTTTTTCAAAACGCCCGGGAGAAATCTTTGCGTTGTCACCCACTTCAGAAAATCCCCTTTGTTTCGGTATCGTTGGTAACGTTGGACGACTTTCTTGAGTTACACGACATGGACCAGCAATCACAACTGATATATAAGAATAATCAAGTAAAAGGCGTCAACCATCATGCAAAGTTAGAAAAAAAAGTAGCAGTACATTTTGTTGTTTGCTATAAAATTATGCGCGCTGAAATATTGGGTGAGTATTTACTGTTACTGTTTGGAAATTAGATCATGGTTTTCCTTTTCAGACCAAAAAATATTATGTATTCCGTGACCATTCGATGTGAATTAGCTGAAATTGAACTTGACTACATGGGGAGAAAAGATAATTGTCATTTTGGACAAATTACAACTGATACACAATAACCAAGCAAGACATTTCAATTATCATCCGAAATTACACGAAAAAATAGCAGTAAAGTTTGTTGCTTGGAATAAAATCATACGCGCTGAAATATTGGGCGAGGACGGATGGCAAAAAGAATTTATTGTTTGGGCATTAGATTATGGTTTTCCTTTTCGGACCAAAGAGGAATATGTATTGCGTCTTTCCACGAAAATGACAAGGCAAATTGACCACATTCGATGTGGAGGTTTAGCTAATATTTTGCCTGCTGAAACTGACTATGACGATATGGAAGGTAAGTTAGTCCTTGTGAAAAAAGATAATTGGCGGCAAAATGCCTGTGACATTTTGGACCAATTTTTGATGGATGCCGCATCGATTACTTTCGTCGAGGAATTTAAGTCGCCAGGCAATCGCTGTTGGGGCAATTTGATTGTCAGGAATCACAAAGGCAGATTTTTTGATGCTCGCGAAATCTTATTGTCGGCTAAATTGGCCTTGGAGGAGCCGACAAAATTTCAAGAGATCATTCCTAAATTGAAAACAATTTCAATTTTGCAATATCTATCTAATAATGGGAGATTAACAAAGAAAACTAACACCATCAGAGGTAAAATAACTGACCTTTGCGTGGTGCAAAATTCGACGTCTGCGATTGATGATAATGCGAAGCGCAAGGTTGAAGCTTGGCGTGCTCGCAATAAACGGCAGAATGATTTAATAGATGTAGCTTCGGTAACAGAATCAAGCATTTCGCGAGAAATGACTGCAGACGGTGTGACTTTTGATGATTCGGTATCTGCAAAGAACTTCAATTTATCAGAAAATGACGTTAAAAAAGGAAATGTTGGTATTACCAACTATATCGGCAAAGCTGGAGCTCTAGCCAAAATTAAAGTTGCGGGAGATGAGTTGCGATGGCCTGGTGATGAATATTTCAAAGCAAGAATCGAAATTAATCCTGTGGAAAATTCGTCACCAGACTTAACAAATGCTTGCATGCGAACTGAAAATTTGCTTAGATTGAAGAAAATTAGAAGTCAACAATTGATGGAATTGCGTGAAAAATATAAGGAGAACGAACCAAGTTTGACAACGTTGTCTTTGGCGCAAACTTACGCCTCAAATTTTACAGATTATAGGAAAACTTTGGAGGCAAAAATGGATAAAGTAAATAGTTATTTTGATCAATTTTGTCTCTATTAATTCTTTTACGTGATTATCCTTAGCCGAATTCGCCGGAACTACTTACAGTGGTCCACTCGCCTTCTTCCTTGAAGTATAAAAAATGTAAACCTTCGGACCAAGCAAAGACTATTAACCGTTACGAATCAACACAATCTACACGAAAAGTAAATGTGAATTTATTTAAGTTATTTTTAATCCATTTGTTATATTGAATTAATGCATTCAATATCTACTGTAAGTGTTCTATTGGAGGTTCAGAAGACGAGAAAGAGAAAACTTTCCTCGGAATGTCTTGCACTAGGCGCTCCGTAACGAATGATGACAAAGAAAATGTAGAACAGGTAATCGGTTCAGCTTCTAAGAAATTGAATTTTTTTATTCACTCGTAATTTCGTGGCCTTCCTTGCACTATAGGAGTCCATAAAAATTGGAAGTGAGGAAGATTTAATTAAATCCGACAAATTAAAATGCCCGAAAGAAGTTAATCCAAGCGATATTAAAAAGGTACATCGTATGAAGGTTTTTTTGTACGCTTTTGACTATGAAATTCTCATCGCAGAATTTGGCGTCTCCATAAGATGGTTTAAGAAGAAGTTTTGATCATTTTTGAAAAAGGCATTTATTGAGAAAAATTAGTACAATGTATGTTAATCAAAAAAGTTTCCATCATTTTCTACATTTTAGAATATCTTTAATAACATGGTGATATCATGTTGAAAGAACTTATATTGTTTTGGCACCGACCCATTTTCGCATTATTTCAACTTTGTGGAACCGCGTGCCAGCCAAGTTATGCTTCTGCATTGATCTGAATAAATGGTAACCAGGAGGCGCCATACCTGGTGAGTACGCTGGGTGCGGCAGAACTTCCAATTCTAGCGGCAACAGTGTATTTTGGACAATCCTTGCAACAAGTGGCCGCAACGGCATTTTCAGTCAGTTTTCCCTTCTTCTTTTCCTATTGTCCGTAAACGTCTAGAAACAATTGATTCGTCAACTACTAAGCTGCTCGAAAGTTCTTCGAAAGTTTGGGTTGGATTGTCGGCCAATAAGTCTTGCAATTCATTGTCCTTCAACTTCTTTGTCATTCAGATCAGGGTCACCACTTTTCAACCGTTGAAACCAAAACCGATAATTGGGGTATGATGGAGCAGCAGCATCACCATCAGCTTCCGGACGTGTTTGATGGATTTCGGCAGCAGATATCTTTAAATCTCAAACCACGAAAGCAATCAATGGCGAATATGCAGTTTTGAGGGTTCCATGATTAGTGTCGGCGTACCCCGGGTAAATGAATAAATTTAAATGGAAGACTGTTATTTTATGCAGAGGATGGTCAAAACAAACGAATTCAACCGTTGTATGCGCTGGTATTTCCCATTTATTTATAATGTTTACCTGTACAAGTGGCTTATCAAAATTTTTGCAAACAACTAATAATTATGGTGCTGGGTGGTTTCGAGGTTTCTCGCTTAACTAATTACCGTAATGAAGACAATCATTGCTAACTTTCATTGGATGGCAAGTCGATAAATTGTCGATTATGTCGATAAATTAAGCAAAATTACGGAAATGAAGAAAGAGTTTCGTGCAAACGAATAAAATGAATCCTCTTCATTAAAAGTCTTTTACACTAATAGGTCTCCAGAGGGAGCAAAGAAAAGAATGGATTTGCTGAGAGATAATATACGGAAAATATGCAGTGGATACTCTTGACACGAGAATGGCATTTCTATATAAATTTGCCATTAAGTAAAAATATATTTCAACGAAATGGTAATCAAGAATATATTATGTCTTGAAATGTACTCCATCGATTTCAAATGCTATTTGGTTTTGTTTTTAAACTTTAATGTTTACTTATCTAGTTGAACATATTCAAAATTCAAAACATGATTCTTGTTTGTATATATATGTGTGTATTCCTTAAAATGTTCATATGATTTTGACAATTTTCTGATACGAAAAAATATATAAAAGTAAACCTCAGTTTGGGTTAATTTAACAACCAGTTTGGTTTCTGGCATTTAATTACGTGACTATTATGCAACTTTTCGTTTTTTTTTTTCTTCTGATAACAAAACTGCGAAGAAACGAACCAGTTTCTGTCAACCACAAAAACAATTTTAACGTTTTAAAAGCTTTAATATGGAATAATGCGAGGGGATGCCGTTTGAACACTACTTGCATATAAAAATAAGATAGTTATGCATATCCAAAGCGATTAACCGATTTCTTCGCTATTATGATCGTTGTAATATTACTATTGCATAAAGCAGCCGCAGTATCTGCAATTTCAAGTACACGATATGACCATAATCACCTCCACCATGCCAATCTTCATTAATCAATAGCTAATCATTAAGTAATTACAATTTAATCTCTTATTAATTAAAATTAATTAAGAATAAAGTGGATTTTTCGTATCAATAAGACTATAACGTCTCTTTCGGCACAAATAATTAAAAAAACTACGAAATAGAGTAACAATTAAATTGCATAAAAAATCAGGCATTGTGTCCATTGTGATCAATTATGCTTAGAATTATAAAATACACTAATTGCTGCTCTAAACATATACACAGTAACAATAGGTTTGATATTTGACAGATAGCAAATAAACGGATAAGTTTTACAGCTTTGACAAGAAGCTCTTGGGAAGGAAGTCTTGATAATCCTAAATACATATGAGCTGGAAGAATTAAATTTGTTGAACGTTTGGAGCTGGCGAGAAGGGTTTTCTCATACAGATATTTCGAAGTACAAGTAGAAATGGACTTGTTAATGAAAAATGCATCTCTAATATTAAGAAACAATGGATGATCACAATCTAAAATCCTTGACGAAAACACCGGTATTCAGTCGTATGTACGTTTATTGAAAACGTATCTGGCACATCTCTTGACAGCCAACTGTCGTTTATTTCCGACGGCGGAGTCAAGGTAGCAGCCATTGTAGGATAACAAACATGTCACTTTCTGGTGTCAAAAAATGTGAGACTTTATCAAGCTGAATTTTAATAATGATTCTTAATTTACTTCAATGCTAGAAATGCAGTACCCATATGTTCATGCATACGAATTAACTAAATTGTTAATATTAAATATTCGCCTATTAGAGAGTATATCAAGTGACATCAACTGTTTTCATAATGAAACAGTATAATGTGACACTTGTACTATATTTACGACCAAACCCCAATAATAACATACAATAGGTGTACCTATGCGCTTCACACGGTTCAATCTGGCCAGCATATTGACGACATACCTCTGTCACATATATGGGCATACGTTCGTTACACTATATACATTAGCTTCATATCCTATAAGTCGCATAACAGGACATTTAACCAATTTCAATTCAGGTTGACTGCGAACATACGTGAAGGATAACTGCAGTTCCCTTAGAACGATATAGATACGAACATTTGGAAGACTGATACAACCGCCAGCTTTAAAACGTGAGTTAATTATAAAGCCAAGATTGCGACTTAACTTGACAGCGTCAATTATTGCATCAGCTATTTGAACACTAGGTGGAGAATTAGAATCATAGGCATTGGTTGATTTCATTATGTTTTCCGTTTTAACTGAGTTTAGCTTTAAATTATTGACAACGGAGCAAGGAGAGATACGATCGAAATTGTAATTCGCTGGAACAAGTCCTCCGCCAGCCCACGTCGACCTAATAGAAATATTCGAGCGTCGTTAATGTATAAATGAATATTGAAATTTTAATAGTATGTAACTTAAGATACTGCTCAAAATGCGTCCCAATACAAAGACTTGAGGTATATCAGAGTTGATATGTCTTATCTTAGAGAAGACGTTGCCGACTTTTCCAGAGTGACACCGATTGTCCAAATACGACTTAACAGGTCTGACCGCTGTCGGGCCGAAAACAAAATAAAAACTTATATATTTTAACAGTAGACTATGGTTCACAGTGTCAAACGAGTTGGAAATATCACTTATAATGAGAGTAATTAAGTTCCCCTTACTATATTCTGGACGAATAATTTCCAGTATCATGAGTATTATAGCAATGATCTGGCTTATAACCCGACTGGACTTGAGACAGTAAATTCTTAAAATGCAAGTGCAGTCCAATCTGATCAGTGACTAAGCGTACACTTTTTTGGCCATAGTAGGAAGAACTCTGTTAGGACGATAATCGTCTACTTAAACTGCCACAACCGCTTTTGCAATATGTTTTATAATCGCTATTTATCTACAGTCTGGAAAAGTACAAAATGTGATTATATGGTTCAATGTATGAGTCATAAAAAAACGACAGATGGAAGGACAAGTTTTAAAAATTGAATGTCAATATTACCAAGACTAACTGCATAACATTAGATACTATAGACAGTACTCCATACTTCGTCGATTATAAAGGCCCTGAATTGAAAAGTCTCGCTACGCCGATGTGAGGAGTTCTGAATCTCAAACGCAAGACGATTGGCAGTTACCATCAACACGATTATTATTTGACTATAGCTCTGCTTCAGCAATTTAAGGAATACCATAACAATATGCAGTGATAAATTTAAAACGCTTTGGGTGTCTCGTCATATCGGCTTATTGGAAAACGAGCCAGCTGGTCGAGCGACGAAGTCTGCTGCTTGTGCACCTTTAATTAAGGACGATGTCATGGAAAAGTTGAACATTCAAAAATACATTGGAAGGAAAGTGAAAGAGAAAATTATGACAGCAAATCTACAATACTCTCATTAGCGCCACTTCTTTGTTACCTATCATGTAGTTTATAACGAGCCTTCTTTTCGCGGTATGCTCAGGGCTACCCAGGAAGTCCCTTCCCAAGAAAAATTATATAAGAACTCTTGGACCTGCATATTTTCTTTAACTTCTACATTCATTGTTTACGAGGAATTTAATTACTTAGGGTCTTACACAATTAGATTATACCGTAAGCGATAAGCGATTTTTATAGAAGGAGCGGGGGAGTGGGGGGTGTGGTGATTCGCGACCCGTCTTTTGTTTAAAATTATTTTCCGCGTTTCGTCGGTACCGAGAAATTCTGCAAAAAAAATACGTGGGAGGTGTTACAGCAGCCAATAGAGCCATTCGTCCGTCCCTACTTACATTCCGTTTGTTTTTACCTAACCGTTTCAACGTCGTTGAGTGTTCCATCCGGTGTTCGGGGTGACGGCTAAGCTAAACCAGCTCGCTCTTATCCGTAGAGTTTACTAATCCTATCTGTTATTCAGGAATGACGACTAAGCTAAGCCTGCCAT